AAGCAAACATTCAATACGTGACACGTCCACTTCACTATTTTCCAATAAAAATGAAAAATATAGCACAAATTTTACCCTTGTCAACACCATTTTAGCTCAACGAATAGAGCACTACTTATATAATGTATAGTAAGACATCTCACTTTTTTTTTTCTTTCAGAAATAAAATTCTACGTGGAAACCACAGAAGAACTCAATTTTTGCCAAATGGACAAGTGACCTTTTGAATGTTTGCGCGTCAAATTTGCGTACAATCGAGTAGCTTGCGGGTCCCACCCGGTCAGAACTTTACCTCTGCGGTGGACCTATGGATTGGGCAAGGTATTCGACGCGTCTCGGTCTGCAGGAGAAGAACTTGCAAACTTTTTCGTATCACTCTAATAAAAGTTGTTCTTAAACTCAAATTCATAAATATGAAAACCTTTAGAAGTGTTTAAAGCGTCGAAGGCGCCACACTCTTCCAGTACATAATATGCCAAATAAGTCTTGAATTAAGTGGAAGAAAGTTGTCCACATATTTCAACACGAATGGATTGACTTTCTACAGCCTACTTCATCACATGAGTGAAGACTATATCTCTATGAAATTTTATATCGAAAAGAATACCCAAACTTCTAAAAGAAATTGTAATTATATGAATGTTCAAACCATCCGAACTGAAAATGACCAGAACAGTAATTGTAATTCTCATGTACACATTGATAACTGAATGAAAGCTACGAAATATTAGCAGTTCTAGTTCGATTAAATTGAAAAACAATGACACTGCACTTACGCAGCCAAGAGTCATTACACCACAAGTACGCAGGCACGCGAAGAAGAAGAAGAAGAAGAAGAAGAAGAAGAAGAAGAAGAAGAAGAAGAAGAAGAAGAAGAAGAAGAAGAAGAAAAGAAAGAAAAAAGTTTCGGAATTGAAACCCGCTCCTCGGGCGCGCGGCGAGGCAATTTCAACGCGAGGCGCGTCGGGCCGAACCCCCAAACACCCAACGGCCCGGCTTTTTATGCCCGCGGCGCGTCGTAAACCCCGGAAGTACGTCCGCTGCCCGAGAGCCAGCCCTTCCTTCCTTCCTCCGACTTATTTCGCAGCAATCGATTCCGGTAAGATGTTTCGGGACCCGGAGGAGAGGCGAGGGAGTGGAGAGGGCACGGAGAGACGGGGCGGGAGAGAGGGGGGACTCTCGTAAAATGTGAGCCAGTCCCACGCCCAGGGAACGGTGGATCTTTAAAGAGGACGCCACGACGTCGGCACGCGAAACGCCCCCGCCTCCGGGCCCGAGTCGGGGTCCGCGGCTGAGTGTCAAACCGATCGGCCGCGCGCGGGCATCGATTAAGCAACAGGCCGACGCGAAGCGAGGCGAGGCGGGGTGACGCGTAGGTGAATCTACGCAGCAGGCTGGCGGCAACGCGCAACTCACCTCGGGCGGGATTACGCAGCGGCAGAGGCGATCGTACGAGACAACTGCAGGCGGTGGCTCGGCAACAGCACGGCACGACACGCACGGCACGCGCGCGATTGCGCTTTGCTTCGACTTACGCGCAACGCAGGCAGGTGAGCGGGCGGGCGGACGCGACGGCTAGCCGGGGGCCCAGCCGACGACGACTGGGGGAGGTGACGACAGCGGTGGCGGCCTCCAGCGGCGGCGCGCGGGGGCGGAGCGACGCCAGCGACGCTCGCGGCGGGACACCCAACTGCGACAAGGCGGCGAGAGCGCTTTTCAAAGCGGCGCCCGACATCACGCCTCTAGCGCCCTCGTCGAGAGCGTTTAATCTCCCTCGTGTGAAAACTATTTTTCAGAGTTCGACTCATTGAATTCCTTTTTTCCAGAAACGAAGATTACGCAAACTTGTTTATAGGGATTCACACACGTCACCTGCACGAGACCGATAACCATGTAATGATGGGAAGACAGATTTTCAGGTGAATAATTTGAGTTTTTGCAAGTCGTGAATTAGAAAGACGTAAAACACGACAATTCTGTATAGAATTGTAGCGATTTCAATTGACGGGTCCCGTCATTCTCCCTCATTTGTCGTCTACGACAAATCTATTCGTAGCTTACACTTTACGTAGTTTTCGCCGCCACTACTGAACACGAATTCGACACTACAACACAATAAAAATGGAAATAATGAAAAGTGCAACATCTTTAGTACCAATACAATACAGCAGGAACTTCATTATTTTTTACTAAATAAATCGTACTATATCTCGAGTTTTTCTTCGTGAAGCCTACGTTCACTAGTTGGAAAGTAATTTGAGACGGTCGCTATCGATAAGAAGTGCCGAAACTACAAGCGTTGATTTTCCGAGCACATGCACAAAAAATTTCTCACTCCTATAGGTAGTTCGGGTACGAAACACTTCTAAGTAGCAAAGAACTAAAAACAATTCTTAAATTAAATCATTAACGGACTACGAGACATTTTTCGGCTCTTAAGCTCAAATAGGCCTTTTAGGAAGTAGTTCTATAGCACCGTTAAGCCATGAGATGTTAAAAAACAATTTTAAATGACTATGTAAAACAGTAACAGAGGCATCTACCTACAAAGTTTGTCTACGAGTATTGATGATGCATCTGGCTGAAGTTCGTCCTTTTAAGACACGTGAATGCTTTTGGGAAACAAAATGGGTCCTTGGATTTTTTTCAAATAGATAGAGTTCTAAGGGTTAGAATAAGGTTACCAGGGCGCTATTCTCTGAAAGAACTCCATACAGTTAAAAAAATTATTTGTACATTAAATAAACAAAAGTTATTAACGAGTATCAACCTAAACGTCTGTTCACTTTAATTATCTGGATGTAAGCAAATTCACGAAAATCCTTTTTTGGTATAACCCATTATATACCTTAACATATTAAACAAGAGGGGGGATCTGCATTTCTGCCTCTCCCCTGGCCCCCTTTTACAATTTACTTTTTTCGTTGACATTTCATCAGTAAATACAACAAAGCATACTACAAGAATAAAATTAATCATTTTATCATAACATAAAATATATCCAAATATTTTATGTTGAACCACATTCCCTCGTGTGACTTTACGACTGAGGAACACCGTTTAACTGGCCTTTCAGCAGTCGCCTCATGAAAACTACAAAGGTCGCGTGCCTTGGGCATTGTTTGCGGCCGGCAATATTTTGAAAGCGATCTGGGGGTTGGACCGCTCCCAGGCTAGCCTGGAATAGAGAGACGATTGTGAAACGGAGTGCGTCACCGGTGAATATCGACGCATTGTTCCTATCACAGCATGCGCAGACGATACTGACAGCTCGTCCACACGAACCTACGAGTAGTGATGCGACATCAACAAGAAAACACAGATATTCAAAATCAAAACATCGATGTTCGATATGCATCGACCAACAATCAACGATATTTTTGGACATCGACGTTTTAAGTTGGTTTAGTAACCTCTAACATTAAGTTCGTGAGCAACAAAATTTAATTTGAGAATGGCCGTGCATATTAATTTATAATTAAAATTGAACTGGAAACAAAGTTATACAACCCATGTGCGCAACACAGGAAAGACGAAGGAAATCGCAGGCCGTCAGGATTATCGAGCAAGGGGCGGTAGTCTGCTCGATTAAGGCAGGGCAAACCGTTTCGATCGAATACAAACCGATTTTTCTACCATCAATTATTTTTCTTATTTTAACTTTTAAAACATTGTGATTATGGATACCTTCCATCCACGAGCAAAACAATGAAAACGTAAAAACATCGATGTTCAAAAAAACATCTTTTCAATACCTAGATGCTTTGACAATCGAAATTTGACATCGACATCGCATTTCTACTTAGGAGCGGCCTTGAGCCGGTCATTTTGGTTTGCCCGTTTACTCAAGTGGCCAAGAGGTCCGTGAAAAGATACTGTAATTCTTGGTTTACAGGGGGCATTAATCTGACATATCATAGGGAACAGATTAGAACATATTTTTGACAGTGGATCTTTGTTACCAAATTATGGATAACACCAAAGTTTACCCAAATCATACCAAATATTTGCCAATATCTTTTTTTCTCCTCCTATCCAATGGACTACAGATAATCGTGAAAATTAAATCCCTCGTACTCTCATTGTTCACTTTCATGATGTTTGGTTCAGGAACCTGGACAACTTTCTTATCTTGATGCAAATCTTTTAGCTAAGCAGAGATATTGATGCAAATGTGTTGCTTTACAGTGCTTCTTATTAGTGTCATATTTAGATCGGTGTTTTAAAACAAAAAATGCCATATTTAGAAACTTTCAAATTGGATCTAATTAAGTGTTGTATTGCAGTTATTAAACAAAATACACAAAAATACAATGTGAAGGTAATGAAATGAGAACCAGAAACAGTTGTACAATTTCAAATCAAAACGTTGAAATATGTTAACAAACTTACAACAACAACAACAATAAGAAGATGAACAATAACAACAGAAGGAAATATAGCCAAATAGGTGCAAAATTCACCTTCAATTTTCTATGATATATTTTAATAATAAACTAAAAAGCATTTTGAGAAAATTATAATTGCAAAAGTATGAAGATTATTTAACAAAGTAATTTAACTAGGAAAGAAAATATTTCATAAATCTTCATTAAACATTCAAAATAGACACTGCAAAATTTAATAGAAACAATGGAGAACAACACTAGAATAATTTTTAACCTACTCCACAGATGTGAAATATTGACTAAGCATAATAATATTACCAGAACTCGCACAGTATGTTTAAGTATTGTAAAAAAATATTAATTCATATTGTACTAATACATAAAAATCATCATTTGAAGTATTATTGAAATGTTAGAACTCCGAGAAGTTGAAGAAGATGGAACATTTTCCCAATCAACTTCCATTTGGAGTTTTCTAACATAGAAATAAATATACTCTTAAAGTAATACTTTTATCAGAATTGGGCCTTTCCACCTTAAACAAACAAAAACTCACCCAATCTCAACAAGTACCAATCCTTTAGTTCAGATTTCCGTTATCTTTGTTCACACTGCTGTTAAGTTGTTGAAGTCTTGCTTGTTGATATAAATGTTTGGACTGTCTTTTAATCCAGTTGTAATTGCACTGCAGGAAATAAAAATGTGCATTAAAATATGAGTTGGATAACCACCACAATAACATGAAAAAAGAAAATATACAATTTTTTAAAAGGCCGAAAGACAGAATCTAACATTAAATCCATCATCAAACAACTAAATCAGAAGTACATCGTCATATACACATGTCCCCTCACCAAACAACAACTTTCACAACTGACAGCTTAATCCAATCTTTGATACGAGTTTTAGCTAAAACAACATGGAAATTCACTATCTATCACCAAATGTGTCTCCTGAAATATAATTCACATGTTCACTTGTAATCTAATAAAAGCTGGCTCGCTAGCTACCTAGTTCCTATTATAATTTACACCAGATTAAAAAGGCACCATGTGATCGTAATAATTGCAACATCTTTTGCCAAAATCTTATAAGGCAAATTGAACCTCAGTAAAAATTGTTAAGTTTTTACTCACAAGTAATTATAAGTGAATATCAACAATCTTAAACACATACTGGAACAGAATATTGTTTTGTACTGCTAGGTAAAAAAAATAATAAAATAAAAAAAATAAATAAATAAATAAAAAATTTTTTAAAAAAACCCTCTGCAAGGCAGATGATGCAATACTTAATAGACGATGTTTTTAACCCGCTAATACCCATAGAAAATGTACAATGATATTACATTCTGCTTTATTTGTATGATTAACATAAACACACAAAACAAAACAAAATTGACACACACAAAAATATTTTAAATAACACGAAAAGGGACTTGCGCAAATGAGCACAATAAGCAGAGCACAGATGAAAATGTCCAAAGCATAATCTTTTATAACTGAGTATTTTCTTTTGTTACTCATACGGTCATTAGATTCTGCTATGAAAAATGACACATCTAAATGAATTTCTATCTTCAAGGATGATGCCCATTATTTTGGTTTGTTAAAGTTTCTGCTATTGATAATGGAGACCTACGGGCGGTGCCCTCAAATGAGATTTGTTTCAGACAAGTTGTCTTTGCTCTATTCAATCCATACAGGCACCATGGTCAAATCTACAAAGAATATAAAAATTACCCACAACCTTTTTTCACCTGCCATTTATATTTCTAGACTGATCCATTAAGTCCACTTCCCTAATTTCTTTGGTGAACTATTTCTTTCAAACGCAAATTCCTTTGCCTTTCACTTTATAATTTTTTCTCACAGCTACTGTGTTTTCTGCAAAATGTAGATTTCACCTTCTGTCAAGAAAGAGGTTTCCTTGACACAATTACCCACAATTTGTACTTCAAAATCTTCACCTAACCGCCCAATGCACATGCTCACTAAGCAATCTGTCAGGGTTGGAAAAGGAAAACAAAACTGAAATGGCACACTGTTCTTGTTGCGATTGTTGAAGTGAACTGGTAATTTATACAATTATATTGGGCATTACTTTAAATATTGACATTGAATTAGGATGATTATTTGATGTTATTACGATGATTATTTGTAGTGATTAGTAAACATGGTATTTAAGTCTATTATACTATTGTATTAGTATGGAATTCAGTATTTATTTATATTTTAGGTAAAATTGACTACTAAAGTTAAAAGAAATAACTGCACTAGCTTCTTGAAACTATTTTCATTAATTCTGAACTGGAACCATTTGTGCTCCTAATGATGACAAAGAGGGTATGCTGGAGGTAAGGGATAATATTTCGAAGAGTGAATAAGAATTAGATCCTGATGATAAGACAGAATCCTTGCCACAGCAATATTATTGAAGAGCTAAAGACCCTCATCTTTTTACTATAGCAAAGATGGAAGAATGTGGAATATTCATATTTCATGAAAAATATAAAAATACGACAGATGAATATTATTATGCAAGTTCCAGTTTGTCAGGATACCAGTTAGAGGAAAGACCGATTCCCTCAAGATTTGTACACTTTCTTTGATTGAGAAATTATTGAAATTATTGAAAAGTTCAAAAGTCAACATATTGCCACTTATGCACAAGAAAATTAGATCCAAGAATACAACTAAACAATTAACTATAGATGTTAACTGTGATGAAGTAGAGGCTCTTCTTTGCCTGCAAATTTTGAGTGTAGTTAAGAAGTCATGCAACTTCAATTTAGAAGAATGTTCTCAACAGACAGAAATTCACCAGAAATCTTTTGCCTAACTATGTCTTAACAACACTTCTCTGTCCTACTTTGCCTCATGTTTTGATGAGATTGAGACCAGACACCAGAGGTTACAGTTATATCGACCAACTCCAATCCGTGATTTGTTCAAATTATTTGTTCTCAGATGTGGCAGTACTCGAGTCAGTTTGTCACAATTGATGAAATGTTCTTATGGTTCAGAGGAAAAGCTGCCTTTGGGTAGCGCATAGCTGTTTTATACCTCAAACACGGAAGTCTACATTGGAAGACATCCAGAAGAATCTAAGAATGCTGTCACTATTAGCTCAATAGATGTCAGCCTATGTCTGGAACAAAAAGGACTGACAGTGGCCAATTTGTTTACCAGCATTGATTTCCGTGAAAAGTGAAACAGTCAGCACAAACTCGCAATGCTAGGCACCATCAGGAAAAACCTGCATTAGCTTCCTCTTGACAGTCCAGATCTATTCCCTCCAATATTCATGGATTCTGTGAAGTCTGTACTCTGTTGTCATACATTCCAAATAAGCAAAACAATGTGTTAATAATTTCATCAATGCGCAATGATGACGTTGTCAATGAAGAAACCGAGAAGTCAGAAATTGTTGTGGACTACAACTAAATTACAGAAGTCAATGTTGAAGACCAACTCTCTGCCAATTAAAATGAGGCCAGAAATACTAGACGTTGTCCCATGACCTTACTTTGCTGAATGATCAACATCTATGGCATAAGCACTCAAGCTATCATCGATCAGATTGCACTAATCCTGAATATCATTCATAAAAAATATGCAGCAGGATTTGAAACGAAACTTTGGCAAAACCATCCTCACACACGTGATGATAAAAACATCCCCAAGATACTTTATGTGATGAAATTGGAGTTGTCATTAATAACAAATGACATTTTTAGTTGTCAAGTTTACTTTGTTTTATACTTTTACTTTTCACTCACACTTCAAGTGTGGCAAAGGACCTTTTGTTTGTTGTAATTATATTTGTGTGTTTAATGCTTGATTTGATGGGTTAATACATTTTGTTACTTTACTGGAAATAATTGAAAAAGTCATTGAAAAAATTCAATGGTTTTTCTATATTGTTTTTAAGGGGAAAATTTAGCAAACACTGTGATTTGCTCTTTGTTCAAATCAGAGTTATGTCCTTTTTCCTGGTCTGGATAACAACATGCTACTTTGAACAATCAAATCAACAAGTCAAAACCATCAAAACAATTTTGTCAAAAACATAACTGAAAAAAGTTTTTAAGAGCATTACTTTAAAGAGGAGCAAATTGTTCCTTTCAGTGGAAGCAAGAGTCGCCATGACATCACTACTTTTCAGTCAGAGTTGTCTTCTAAATACTGATGAACAACTTTCAAAAAACTTGGAATACCTCAAGACACCAAATCATTGCCCTTTCCTCTTTATCTGTTACTTTTAGCATTAAGTGGATATAATTAGTTCATTTAATTGGATTCAGTAGAGTCCTCACTATTCTTATTCATAATACAATTAAGGATCTAATTAAGGCTGCTACAGTTATAAGCTGCAATGTCCTAGAGAGCCTTTACAATAAAAAAAAAAAAAGCCAATCAAACTATTGAATGTATATGTCCCTTGCACTGCACCGGCTTTGGTACAGAGCAAAACAGCAGCCTTTCTTTCCATTTCATTCAAAATTTACTCTATCAGACACATTTAGAATATTCTAAAAATATTCATATGTGAAATCAATAATGCAATAATTCATAATCATCGGCTCTGTGAATATGTACCCCACAGATTCTTTGTAGAATATTAAGTTTGTATTGTGGTACTGAAATTAAACAACGAACTGTAGGTTGTCTGAAGACTTCACACTCAGAACCTAACATAGGGCACTTAGCAAATTTATATTGATATATTTTATATACCACAAAAACAATGTGCTAATTTTTTTGTTCCCTTTACGTATTATAAAATGAATTTAATTTATTAAAAAAAAATTATAAAAAGAGTGAAAAATGAATGACCATGACCTTCCTGCATTAGCATCTTCACCAAACGTTTTTTTCTTTTTTATTAAAAAAAAGGCTTATGTGGTGACCATACCACACTTCATTGCCCGATACAGAGGCCTATGCAATTAACTAGCTCTGAGGTTCCAGTACTTATCCACAAGACAAATTCTGGAGTTTCCTCTGTCTGTCTCCAGTGTTCGTCTGGACAATACACTAGGCAATGGGACCAGAAACACCCAACATTCAATTGATATCACACTACTGTGGATAAAACATGCATACATTAATTATTTGTTTATTTATTATGGCAACAGCAATGCTCATTACATAACACTGAAGTTATACGGTTTCATACTCTAATTATGTTAAGTATAATAATTATTTTTCAATAGTTCATTTAATCACCACCATTAGGTAAAGATGAATCCAACAGCAAAATTCTCAGTGCTGAAATAATACCAGAATAAAATGTTCCAAATTTTACATTTTTCATGTTTATTTTATAAGATACAATTTTTAATACTGATTATCTAGTGTTCTGTACAGCAAATAATTATTGTAATTATGTGCTTCCTTTTATAGCCTTGTTAACCACGTTTTTTCACATTCCTTCTCTTTTACAGTGTGAATGCACTTGATCTCCCAATTTTGGATGTCAATCATTACAATTTAACAATCCCAAGAGCAAACTGTTTCAAGAAGTAACAGCCAATATTTCTTTTAAAATGTTGAATCTAAACCACACAGAATAAAATTCAACAATTTGAATAAACATTATTTTTCTCCTGAATACTCAAAAGAGTAAATGTTGCTTAAAAGAAATTTTCCAGCAGGAAGCATTTCTTTAAGGTTTCGTTGTTAGGACACCAAGAGAAATTCACTATCACTGTAGCTATGAACTGTACATAACTGTTACAGCAGTAGTTATTCATTTACAAAGGAAGCATAATTTAGGAAGAGAAATGTATCTTACATACATCACATTCGCATCTATAGTAAAACAAAGTTTCTTCTTCATTTTTAAAAATAATCATTAAATGTCAGAAGGTTTTAATTCTGAGCCTAGCCACTGAGTTTTTAAATTTTCAATAATCAAAATATGCAAGTATTAATTGCTTTCCAAATGCATATCATCTCAAACCTATTTCATGAAGTATATGACGGTTAACTCTTGACTACACACAAC